AGGTCCAATTCATATGCGTGCGAAAGCAGACAATCAAATTCTTTTGCCCATATAGTAAAACGAAGAGTCAGATAACACAGCACAAAAAATATTGCTAATAACTGTGTGTTTGTGTTTCTTGTACAGCTTTTGTAAAGTTAAAGTGCTGTGAAAAAAAAAAACACTTGAACTCCCTTCGTAATCCCTTTTTTTCCTGCATTTGTATTTGCCATACTTGCATATTTCAGATCATATTAGACAACTGAAGAAAATGTATTTGTTTAATGATTTCATGTATTAAAGGAAAAAAGCTATCCAAACCTGCAGCTCTTTTTGTAAAAACGTATTTGCTGCTTAAACCTAATAACTGTTTGTGCCACCATTATGGCCACAACTGTAATCAAGCATTTGTGATAACTTGCAATGACTCTTTCACATTGCTGTGAAGAAATTATGGCCACATTCAGGGGTTTTTGAGCATGAACTGCTTTTTCAAGGTCATGAACCCACCCACCACTTTAATCACACTCTAGATCTTGTTTTAACATATGGCATAGAAACTGAACATTTAACAGTTTCCTGAAAACCCTCTCCTGTCTGATCATTTCCTGATAACATTTACATTTACAATAATTGATTACACAGCAGTGGAGAGTAGACTTTATCGCACAGGTCTCTCTCTCAGTGTGCTTCAAGAACAGTTTCCCATCTAAAAATCTCTGTTTTCTGCATTATTCGCTTGCTTATTTCGCTTGCACCAGTCTACCGTTATGTACAGGGCTGTCGGTACCGTGCTTTCATTTCAGAGTGCAATGAGACATTACACTGCATAATTTTTAATAAAAAACTGGAAAAATTGGGGTGTTCAAAAACTTTTGACCGGTAGTTGCATTGAAGCATTGACATAACCTGGTCAAAAACAACTCCAACCATATAGAGTTAGTATCTGGGTTGATATCATATTTCCAAGATCAAAATATGATTTTATATAGATGTACGCACAGCGGCGAAAATGAGCTTCCTCCGAAGGGTGGCTGGACTCTCCCTTAGAGGTAGGGTGAGAAGTTCAGCCATCCGGGAGGGGCTCAGAGTAGAGCCACTGCTGCTCCACATCGAAAGGAGCAGCTGAGGTGGTTCGGACATCTGACAAGGATGCCTCCTGGGCGCCTCCTGGGTGAGGTGTTCCAGGCATGTCCCACCGGGAGGAGGCCCCGGGACAGACCCAGGACACACTGGAGAGATTATATTGCCAGTCTAGCGAGCAAAGCGTATTATCTGCATTGTACAGCAAAAAGATAAGGTAGTGCTGACATCTCCATTATCACCTTCCAACTACTATAATATTTCATTGTGACACAACACTACAGTTGAAAGCCATCATGCACAATCTAAAGGTTAAAAAATGATTCTATCACAAAATAATAAATGATGCAGAGTTTTACGGGGCTACTGTGCGTCACTCTGGCATTATCTCATACAGCTATTAGCTAGAAGGTCAGAGGTGGTCACTAGCCAATGTTGCAACGAGAAGGACAAAAAGCAATGTGAAAAGGACAAAAAGACAAACAGTATGAGCAGTCAAGACAGAAAAACTGCACACTGA